TAACCTTTTCTAATCTGGCTTCCCTCTTCACCAACACCCTCAAACTTTGTTCTCCAGATTATTCCCATACCTCCTAGTTGTCAAATCCAAGGCCTTTTCTTAAATCTTCAATCTTGTAATCTCTGGCACTGAGCACTCCATACCACCTGCTTTTATTTCTTGGGTTGTTTTGTTTTGTTTGAGACAGTCTCACTCTTTACCCAGGCCAGAGTGCAGTGGCATGATCTTGGCTCACTGCAACCTCCGACTCTAGGGATCAAGTGATTCTTCTCCCTCAGCCTCCCAAACCACTGGGACTACAAGCACTCGCCACCACACCTGGCTAATTTTTTTTTTTTGTATTTTTAGTAGAGACGTTTTCACCATGTTGGCCAGGCTGGTCTGAAACTCCAGACCTCAAGTGATCAGCCGGCCTCAAACTCCCAACACCTACTTCTTTTTGAAACTTTTTCTTTTTGGATTTTCAGTTCTTCTCCTCCCTCTCCTCCTCCCCTTTTCCTACTTTTATCTTTTCCTGCCTTTTTGACCATTCCTTCTGTCACTCTGTCTCTTTGATGTACTGTTTCTAAGGCTGTGCCCTTTGCCTCTATTCTCTTAGCCTTTGTTTCTGTGCAATCTCTAGACTATCACTTTGTGATGTCTCCCGTGTCATTTTCTCTAGTACTAATTTTTCTTTCTTTTTTTTTTTTGGTATTTTAGTATAGAGACAGGGTTTCACCATGTTGCCCAGGCCGGTCTTGAACTTCTGAGCTCAGGCAATCTGCCCGCCTTGGCCTCCCAAAGTGCTAGTATTACAGGCGTGAGCCACTGTGCCTGGCGTAGATCTAGTACTAATTTTTCTGTGGATTTCTGAGCCTGTAATTCCTGGCCTGGATTTCCATCACTTTTAGGACATCTCCAGACTCTCAAACACAGACTAAACTCATTTCCTTCCACTTCCAACTTCTTTCCCCTTTTTCTTTCCTATTTATATTAATAGCATTCCATGCTTCTGTCCATAGCTCTCACATTGTCACAAAGTTCTGTAAATTGTCTCTTAAAGTTTGTCTTAAATCAGTTCCTTCTTCCTCTTTGCCTTAATTCAGATTATAATCATCTCTCATCCTAGTTTCCCCGCTAAAGTGATCTTTTTAAAAACTATAAAGTCATGTGACACATCTGTGTCTATTCTATTCTGTTCTGTTCCCAAGAACTCTGTAGTTTGAAGTTCAGTCTCTGAAGAGAACATTTAAGGCCTTTCACACGCAAATTCCAGCCTCATTTCCTGCATCCCCACCCAACAAACTTGGCCCTGGCAACCTACATAGAACATCTTGTAGAAGCACACCATGACTTTTCACGCTGTGTTTTCCTTCTGCTCTGCTTATCCTACTACAATTTTTTCCCCCATTTTGTATTTTGGATCTCAGGTTCACAGGACTGAATTATTCACATGCTGCAGTTCATGGCATACTATTACAATTGGCCCTTCCAAAGTCCTTCACTTTTTATTGATCAATGTATTCCTTTTATCCTTATTCCCATTTCTCCTAGACTGTAACTTACTCATGTGTTTAATATCTATGCTTTCTTATATTTTCCTGTAAAATAAGTAGTACTTTTAATTTCTATAAATGGTATTATGCTATAAATTTTATTTCTTACTTTTTTAACTTAGAACTGCTTTCGAGTTCTCTCATGTTGCTACATCTATTGCTTCTGATTGCTGCATGGTACTCCATGCTGTGCATCCAGCATATTTTACCTATCTACTCCCTTGATAACAGACGCTATGAATGTTTTATGCATGACCTCCTGGACACTGGATCACTACCTAAAAGCAGTTCTCAACCCTATCAGGCTCAACAATCTCCCTTAAATATTAATAACAAATACAATGTTTCCATTATTGTGCAGAGAAATTCAAAAATAATATAATTGACTGTGGTAGGTGGCCTCTCAGAAAGCCCCCAGTGATCTCCAGGGCAATATTCTTGCCCTTATGTAATCCCCTCTCCACGAATTTGGGCTGTACTTTTTTTCTTTTCTGAGACAGAGTCTCACTCTGTCACCCTGGCTGGAGTACAGTGGTGCCATCTCAGCTCACTGCAACCTCTGCCTCCCGGGTTCAAGCAACTCTCCTGCCTCAGTCTCCTGAGTAGCTGGGATTACAGGTGTCCACCACCACGCCCAGCTAATTTTTGTATTTTTAGTGGAGACGGGGTTTTACCATGTTGGCCAGGCTGGTCTCGGAACTCCTGACCTCGTGATCCGCCCACCTCCGCCTCCCAAAGTGCTGGGATTACAGGCGTGAGCCACTGCACCCCACCTTAGCTGTACTTTTAGTGAATTAGGGCAGAAATGATGGGATGTCACTTCCAAAATTAGGTAACAAAAAACCTGTGAGTTCTGTTTTCTGGGTTCTCTCACTTGTGTCCTCTGGAGGAAGGCAACTGGCACACTGTGAGCTGCCCTATGGAGTGGATTACATGGAAGGAACTGAGGGAGGCCTCTGGGCAACATCCGGTGAAGAACTGAGGCCCTTATCCAACAACCTTGAGGAACTGAAACCTCCAGCAACCTGTGAGTGACTCTGGCAAATTCTCCTCCATCAACACTTGAGGTATGACTGTGGCCCCAGGCAACATCCTGACTGCAACAGGAGGGACCTTGAGCAACAGGCACCCAGCTAAATTGCACCCACATTGCTGACCCACAGAAACTGTGTGATAAATATTTGTTTTAAGCCACTAAGTTTTGGGGTGATTTGTTATACAACAATAAATAACTAATATATCTACCTACTCACATAATTTAGAAAATAACATAAAACCCTAACAGGATCCAGTGATCCAGTGTCCAGGAGGTCAGGCATAAAGGTAATATAAAGTAAAGTAAAAATAGTAACATATGTTTCTTTTTCTTTTTTTTTTTTTTTTTTTTTTTTGAGATGGAGTCTCATACTGTTGCCCAGGCTGGAGTGCAGTGGCAGGACTTCTGCTCACTACAAGCTCCGCCTCCTGGGTTCACGCCATTCTCCTGCCTCAGCTTCTCCAGTAGCTGGGACTACAGGCTCCCACCACCACGCCCAGCTAATTTTTGTTGTATTTTTTAGTAGAGACAGGGTTTCACTCTGTTGGCCAGGTTGGTCTCAAACTGTATGAGGTGATCCGCCCGCCTCGGCCTCCCAAAGTCCTGGGATTACATGTGTGAGCCAGCGCGCCCAGCCAACATATGTTTCAATATATAAACACTCGAGCACTAGGGGGTATAATGAAGATGTCAGATGCTTGTACCTATATGTAGAATTACTTTGAATGCAGACTGATTTGAGTGACTATTGTCGACCTAAAAGGAAGAAGCTGAGGCAAAATTAATATAAATAGTGAGTTTATTTGGGCCAGACTTAAGGATTGCAACTCAGCAGCATAAAGTGGCCCGGAATACACTCTAAGATTAGCAGCAAGTACAAGTGGATTTTTAAAGAAAAAGAATGAGGACAGGGAGTGGGCTGATACAAAGTTGTCTTTAAGGAATTCTCATTGGTTTACAAAAATAACATTGATTAGTGATTGGCTAAACATTATCAAGCTATAGGGTGTGGGATATAGTGTCTGGTGGGGCATAATTAGGCTAATTTATAACTAATACTTGTGGAATGGCAAGCAGTTTTAAGACGTAAATACATAGCTCAAAAGGGGGCAAGTAGGATGTCATTGGCTCTCATTTTAATGCCTCTCTGGGCCTAATAATTTAACTCACGTTTCTCAAATCAAAGTTCTTTTTTCAGTATTCACTATTCAAATTATTACAAGTGATGTTGCTTTTGGTGACGTTATTTCTTGAAATGGTACACAACTCTTAATGAACTCCAAACAAAAAAATACAATTACTATTCAATTTTGGGGCAATAACATTCCTAGAAAATTCAACGTACATTGAAAGTGTGGGAAAATGCTTTGTGTTTATTAACAAAGATAGGTTCAAGCCTCACATAACTAATTTTCACTCACCGAATGTTCAGCAGGACATTCAGAAATCGTGTGTATTACGGGATTTTCTTTATGTAGCATCATCTATTACACTGTAGGACACATATTTTATATCCCTAGCTCTGGCCTTCCAATGCCTGTGGTTTTCCCAACCATTGTTCCGACCAAAAGCCTTCCCTGATGGACACAGTGGCTCACACTTGTAATCCCAGCACTTTGGGAGGCCGAGGGGGGCAGATCGCTTGAGATCAAGAGTTCCAGACCAGCCTGGGTGATGTGGCGAAACCCCATATCTACTAAAAATACAAAAATTAGCCGAGCATTGGTGGTGTGCGCCTGTAATCCCAGCTACTTGGAGGCTGAGGTGGGAGGATGGCTTGAGCCCAGCAGGTCTAAGCTGCAGTGAACCCGGATTGTGCCACTTCACTCCAGCCTGGGGGACAGCGAGGCTGCGTCTCAAAAAAAAAAAAAACCAAAAATAAGGCCGGGCATGGTGGTGCACGCCTGTAATCCCAGCTACTCGGGAGGCTGAGGCAAAAGAATCGCTAGGTGGAGGTTGCAGTGGGCCGGGATCGCGCCACCGCACACTCCAGCCTGGACGACAGAGTGAGACTTGGTCTCAAAAAAAAAAAAAAAAAACCTTCACAAAATTTTAAATGCTTACTCTTGGGACACCATTTCTTGGAAATTTGTGGTGAAGCACAGTATCTCCAGTAATTAACATAGTGCTTAGAAACAGTGGAACCACAACTTTTTAAAATGATTTAAAAGCATTTATGTCAGATAAAGGACCGCTGGCTAGCCCTCCTACGATCCATAGCTTCGTAGTCCCCAAACAGGAAGCCGTGATTCAATACACAGTAGCAAATTTAGGGGTGACAACGAGATACATCCCACGTAGCCCGTGATTTCCTTTTCTTTGTTAGTTTCCAATTCCTTCAGTATTACAGGGAGGAGCTCCGGCCTCCTCCGCCAGAGACTGTCGCATTTCCGCCGCCAGGCCGGAAAGCACCACCGTCCTTCCGCAGGCCTCAGTCAGCTAGGCCCAGCTCCAGCCCCGCCCGTCACCGGAAGTGAGGCGGCGGAAGTAGCATGACCCGCTGGGAACCAGCCGGCGGGGCGCTGTGGGTTGGCGGGCTAGTGGGATGGCAGATGAGGAAGAAGACCCCACCGTGAGTGACCGTCTGTGTCCAAAACCTCTCTTTTCTTCACTCCTTCGGGCTCAGTAGCGGAGGCAGAGTTCAGGATCGGATCTGCTTGCCTTAGTCAATTCAGCCGACAGAATTCGGGGACTTCACGCCCTAAGGATTGATCATTTTAGAAAGTGGGGAAGGACATGAAGGAAGAGTAGGTTTTGTGACTCCTTTCCCCTTGATTTTGGTCTGTATTTGCCAGACACTGAAACATTTACAGAATCATCAGAGGTCAAAACTAACATCTGTTAGCGCTCACTATGAACCAACAGTTCAATTGTTAACAAAACTACTTACTGTGAAGTAATGGGAAAAGAATGCATTGAAAGTCAGACAGCCTGGATTTCAAAATCTCCATTCTCTCTAAGCAAGTTATTTAACTTTGACAATCAGTTTTCTTGTTACAAAATAGGGTTACGGGCTTACTTAAGGAACGTTTTTAGCACTGTATAAGCAAATGCTTAGTAAATATTAGTTTTGCTTAATTGAAAGTCTACAAAGGTAGACTTTGATTCAGTCTCAACTGTTTAACAGTAGCAATAGGCCACCTTAGTTGTTTAAAAATAAAACCTATGGTCATTGGAACTCTTACACGTAGAAGCAGTAGGATTATTTGTTAGGAACATTGTAGAAGCCATTTTTGGATGAGTTGGAAATTGGACTCGATACCTAGGCTCCTTCAGTGCTAAGGTTTCGTGTTTTTTTTTTTTTGTTTTTTGTTTTTTTCTGCTTCCTTTAGGCTTTCTGGCCTATCTGTTGAAAAGGAAAAAACATTGTTATTATTAAAATATCAAATGCAAGGCAATTATTTGACATTTCTATATATACATTTTCTAGTTTGAGGAAGAAAATGAAGAAATTGGAGGAGGTGCAGAAGGTGGACAGGGTAAAAGAAAGAGGCTTTTTTCTAAAGAATGTAAGTAGTATTTGACAATGATTTTGTTATAGATGATGAAAACTTTTGGACATATCCTTTCAAAGTACATTTATTGCTTTGAATGTTTCCCTGTAGTGACAATATTCTCAGACTAGCCTATCAAATTCTGTTTAACTTTTGAATCAGGTAGTACCAATCCTAACCCCAATTATATGTGTGTGTATGTGTGTCTGTGTATAAATTGCTTTTTAAGTGAGCAAATGTAGTTCATGTTTTAATTTAGGGCAGAAGAACATACCTCCATTAGTTTTCCTCTTGCCTTTGCAGCAGTAGAAACAGAGGCTCCTTTGACTGTAAGCCACAGGTAATAATGGATCCTGCAACAGGTGTTGAGGGAGAGTAGCAAGTGAGTTGGGGCTTGGGCTTTGGACTAAGGCCATGAACAAAGTAAGAAGATGGTGAACAGCTGGGTGTAGTGGCTCACGCCTGTAATCCGAGCACTTTGGGAGGCTGAGGCAGGTGGATCACTGGAGGTCAGGAGTTCGAGACCAGCCTGGCCAATGTGATGAAACCCCGTGTCTACTAAAAATACAAAAATTAGCCAGACGTGCTCGCTTGAACTCAGGAGGGAGAAGTTGCAGTGAGCCAAGATTATGCCACTGCACTCCAGCCTGGGTAACACAGCAAGACTCTGTCTCAAAAAAAAAGAAAAAAAAAAAAAGAAGGTGGTAAATAGTGTTAAGACATTAGAGTGACATGGAGGCTAGATGCAGTGGCTCACGCCTGTAATCCCAGCACTTTGGGAGGTCAAGGCAAGCAGATCGCTTGAGCCCAGGAGGTCAAGACCAGTCTGGGCGACATAGTGCAACCCTCTCTCTACAAAAAATACAAAAATTACCAGGGCTTGGTGGCACGCCCCTGTAGTTCCAGCTACTCTGGAGGCTGAGGTGAGAGGATGGCTTGAGCCCAGGAGGTGGAGGTTGCAGTGAACCCAGATTGCGCCACTGCACTCCAGCCTTGGTGACGGAACCAGACCCTGTGTCCAAAATAAATAAATAAATAAATAAAATAATGACATGGAGATTATAATGTATTGATTCTCCATCCTTCCCCCTTAATAGATGCTTTTGACCCTTTTTGGCAACAAGAGGAAAGGAGAGCTGCTGCTACTACTGATGGTACAGGCCAAGCCCTGGAACACAGCATGAGAATATGCTCTCTATCTCCCAGTCCTGGGTCCTTTATGTAAAGTTATATCTAAGTATTGAGAGATGAGGCAACACAGATTTATGAATATGGTTTATTTAGGCGGGGTTATATGTGAACAGTTCCCAAATGCCCTTGAAACTACAGGGTCAGTATATCTTTTTTGTTTTTTTTTTTGCAATTAACTGAGCATGGTGGCATGCACCTATAGTCCCAGCTATTCAGGAGGCTGAGGTGGGAGGATCACTTGTGCCCAGGAGTTCAAGGTTGCAGTGAGCTGTGATGATGCCACTGTACTCTAGCCCCAGTGACAGAAGAGTGAGACCCTGTCTCGCCACCATGCCCCAGCTAATTTTTTGTATTTTTAGTAGAAACGGGTTTCCCCATGTTAACCAGGGTGGTCTCAAACTCCTGACCTCAGATGATCTGCCTAACTCGGCCTCCCAAAGTGCTGGGATTACAGGCCCGAGCCACCATGACCAGCCATACCCAGCTAATTTTTGTATTTTCAGTAGAGACTAGTTACACCATGTTGGCCAGGCTGGTCTCAAACTCCTACCCTCAAGTGATCCTCCTGCCTCAGCCTCCCAAACTGCTGGGATTACGGGCATCAGCCACCACACCCAGCCAGACACTCTTATTTTTTAACCATCCAAATCCTTTTCCATATTTCGTTTCCTCACTAAAGCTGACCATTTCTTATTTCATTTCTCTGATGCGCCTTATACCATTATGTGGTTTGACTTATTATATCAGCATAAGAAGGGGATCCTTGTACCAGAGCATCCCAGAGTGATGTTCAGTTGGTTGTTAGCAAAGACCTTTGTTCCAGTGAGATTAGTTTGTGATGACAGGAATTTGGAATCTTCAGGCTTCTCCTTATCTTAACTGAATATTCATAGAGGTTACTGACGAAAGATCTGTTTCCTGAACCTTAAAAAAAAAAAAAAATTTGCAGGAGACTAGGTACAGTGGCTCATGCCAGTTATCCCAGCACTTTGGGAGGCCAAGGTGGGAGGATCACTTGAGGTCGGGAGTTTAAGACCGGTCTGGCCAACATGGCAAAACCCCGTCTCTAATAAAAATACAAATTTAGCTGGGTGTGGTGATGCGTGCCTATAACTCCGCTAATCGAGGGCCGGACACGTTAGCTCATGCCTGTAATCCCAGCACTTTGGGAGGCTGAGGTGGGTGGATCATGAGGTCAGGAGATCGAGACCATCCTGGCTAACACGGTGAAACCCCGTCCCTGCTAAAAATACAAAAAATTAGCTGGACGTGGTGGTACATGCCTGTAGCCCCACCTACTTGGGAGGCTGAGGCAGGAGAATTGCTTGCATCCAGGAGGCAGAGGTTGCAGTGAGCCAAGATGGCGCACTGCGCTCCAGCCTGGGTGACAGAGCAAGACTGCCTCTCAAAAAAAAAAAAAAATTCCAGCTACTTGGGAGGCTGAGGCTGGAGAGTCACTGGAACCAGGGAGGCAGAGGTTGCAATAGGCCTATAGAATTTCAAAGCATTATCTGGCATTTGTTTATGCCTTTATAGACCCTTTAGCCAAATACAGTTTACATACTTCCCATATAATAAGTTTCCCTTTTCCAGTGAAATATATTTTCTGTCTGGTGAATTCTGCCCATCAAAATGTTAGTGACAAAGTATCTTCCTCGAAATATTTAAACAAAAACAGTAAACTTAAAATGGAGAATTCTGGAAGACACCATGTTAACCAAGTGATCAAAGCATCACTAATATACAGTATATTGACATTATATACCCCCGATATGATGCATTAAGAGGACACATCACCTTGGTGTTCTTCCTGGTAATGTCAAACTTCAATCTAACAAGGAAACATCAAAGAAACCCAAATTGAGGGATAGTCTACAAGATAACTGACCAATATTCTTCAAAAGTGTCAAGGTTTTTTGTAAACAATGGTTTCATTTTAAAAAAAGGTGTCAAGGTTTTGAAAGATGAAAAAGTCGAGGAACTGTCAGAGAATAGAGGGAACTAAGGAGACATGACAACTAAATGGTATGGGAACCTGAAACAAAAAGTACATTGGTGGAAAAACTCGTAAAATCTGAATAAAGTCTGTACTTGTACCAATGTTAATTTCTTAGCTTTGATGACTCCCTATGGTTGTATAACATGTTAACATAAGGGGAAGCTGAATATGGGGCATATGGGAACTGTGTACTATTTTTGCAACTCAGCTGTAAATCTAAAATTATCTTTTTTTTAAAAAAAGGCAAAAAAAGTACGGAATCCAAAACAGAAAGATAAAAACTATTGGCTCCTGTGTTTGTTTTTTTCCTCCTGTTTCTGGACCTAAAGTCTCTTGCCAGTGTAAACCCTAGGGACATGTCTATCTCAAGCTGGTTTACAAGTCACCCTTTTCTTCTGTAGGCCTGGCCTACTTTCTTCTCTTCGTACTTCTACTAGTTTTTACTTCTTCTAAATACAGGAATTATTCTTAATTTACTCATTTCTTCCTTTAGAAGTATTCTACAAGTACTTTTTTTTTTTTTTTTTTTGAGACGGAGTCTCGCTCTGTCGTCCAGGCTGGAGTGCAGTGGCGCTATCTGGGCTCACTACAAGCTCCGCCTCCCAGGTTCACGCCATTCTCCTGCCTCAGCCTCCCAAGTAGCTGGGACTACAGGCGCCTGCCACCATGCCCAGCTAATTTTTTGTATTTTTAGTAGAGACGGGGTTTCACCGTGTTAGCCAGGATGGTCTCCATCTCCTGACCTTGTGATCCGCCCGCCTCCGCCTCCCAAAGTGCTGGGATTATAGGCGTGAGCTACTGCGCCTGGCAGTATCTTTTTTAAAAAAATAAAACTTAGATACAATAAATTGTGCAAGTCTTAAGTGAACAGCTTGCTGAATTTTATGTATACTATACAGTCAGCCCTCTATATCCATGGGTTCTGCATCCATGGATTCAACCAACCTCAGATGGAAAATATTCAGGAAAAAAAAAAACTGCGTCTGTATTGAATATGTGCAGACTTTTTTTCCTGGTCCTTATTCCCTAAACCATATAGTATGACAACTATATACATAGCATTTACATTGTATTAGGTATTGTAAGTAACCTGGAGATGATTTAAAATATAGATAGGAGATGATTTAAAATAAAATATAGATGTTTAGGTTGTATGCAAACACTATGCCATTTTATATCTGGGATTTGAGCATCTGAAGATTTTAGTATCCACGGGAGGTCCTGGAACCAAGCTCCCAAGGATACTAAGGGGTAACTGTATACACGTGCACACACACACACACACACACTCACACACTTGTACGCACTACTAAGATCAAGATAATAAAAGACTTGCAGCATTTGACAGAGTTTCTTACCATTTACATATATGCCTTTGAGAATCTGATTAAAGTTATAATTATTCCCAGAAAAATGCCCATGTACAGATAATGTATAAAATTTTTCTGTATGATTTTAGGGTCGTCTCAAGGCCTTTTTTTTTTTTTTGAGATGGAGTCTCCCTCTGTCACCTTTTGGAATGCATTGGCGTGATCTTGGCTCACTGCAACCTCTGCCTCCTGGGTTCAAGCGATTCTCCTGCCTTAGCCTCTGTAGTAGCTGGGATTACAGGCGAGCGCCAGCACGTCCCCCTAATTTTTGTATTTTTAGTAGAGACAGGGTTTCACCATGTTGTTTAGGCTGGTCTCAAACTCCCGACCTTAGTTGATCCGCCCACCTGGGCCTACCAGAGTGCTGGGATTATAGGCGTGAACCACAGCACTGGCCTTCAAGAACTTCTTAAAGCTTGTCTGTGGACTAGGGGTTTATAGGTGATAGGTAAGAATCTGTGTGGATCTCAGCTGAGTGGTGGCTCACACCTGTAATCCCAGTACTTTGGGAGGCCTAGGCAGGAGGATTGCTTGAGTCTAGGAGTTCAGTACCAGCCTGGGCAACACGGTGGGACCCTGTCTCTACGAGAAAACAAAAATAAGTAAATTTTTAGAAACCAGTTCAAAAGCAGCCTGGGCAACATAGCGAGACCCCTGTCTCTAGAAAAAATTTAAAACGGCTGGGTGTGGTGGCTCATGCCTGTAATCCCAATAATTTGGGAGGCCAAGGCAGGCAGATCACTTGAGGCCAGGAATTCAAAACTACCTTGGGCAACGTGGCAAAACCGTGACTCTACTAAAAAATACAAAAAAATTAGCCGGGTGTGGTAGCGCATGCCTGTAATCCCAGCTACTTGGAGGCTGAAGCTCGAGAATCTCTTGAACCCGGGAGGTGGAGGTTGCAGTGAGCTGAGATCGCACCACCGCACTCCAGCGTGGGTGACAGAGGGAAACTGTGTCTCAGAAATAATAATAGTAATAATAGAGAGAGAAGTCTAATATAGAGAAATTTAAAAAACTCCAAAAGATAAAACGTATATAGTCCTTATTATATGCCAGGTACTGTCGTAAGTCTTTACATATATAACTCATTTAATCCTCACAATGATCCTTTGAGGTAGATACTATTGATTATCCCCATAGATGAGAAAATTAAAGCACTGCAGTAACTGATTTACCCAAGGTCACAAAGCTAGTAAGAGATGGAACCTGAGTTTGAACCCAGCTGATCTGGTTCAGGTCTTTCCTCATACCCACAACAGCATCACACTTGTTGGTACTTGTAGTTTAGGGCAGACAGGATCCATATGAATTTTTTGTGCTCCCCTTTTTTGAGCCAGTCTTGGCTCTGTCGCCCAGGCTGGAGAGGTGTTGCAGTCACAGCTTGCTGCAGCCTCAACCTCCCTGGCTCATGTGAGCAGCTGGGACTACAGGCACATGCTACCATGCCTGGCTAATTTGTGGGGTTTTTTTGAGACAGAAGTCTCACTGTGTCACCCAGGATGGAGTGCACACCTGTTGCTTCCTGTAAGAATGTATTTGGGGCGGGGCGCAGTGGCTCACGCCTGTAATTCCAGTACTTTGGGAGGGCGAGGCAGGTGGATCACGCCATCTCAGCTCACTGCAACCTCTGCCTCCTGGAATCAAGTGATTCTCATGCTTCAGCCTCCCGAGTAGCTGGGATTATAGGCATGTGCCAATACCGCCATCTGACTTTTGTGTTTTTTTTGTTTTTTTTTTTTTAGTAGAGACGGGGTTTCCCCTTGTTGGCCAGGCTGATCTGAAACTTCTGGCCTCAAGTGATCTGCCTCAGCCTCCCGAAGTGCTGGAATTACAGGTGTGAGCCAACATCCTGGCCTTCGCCCAGCTAATTTTTTTTTTTTTTTTTTTTTGTAGAAACAGGGTTTTGCCATGTTGCTCAGGCTTGTCTCAAACTCCTGAGCTCAAGCAGTCTACTTGCCTGGGCCTCCCAAAGTGCTGGATTACAGGTGTGGGCCACTGCACCCGACCTAGACTTACCTTTTTCATTTCATATGGTTTCTTCAGATGAAGCCTGAAAGGGCTTTGCCAACAGTTGTATTCATCTAGGAAATGTCAAAATTCCTTGTAGTAAGCCCTCTGCTTTCTAATTTTGATTACCCTGTTGCTTCCTGTAAGAATGTATTTGGGGCCAGGCGCAGTGGCTCATGCCTGTAATCCCAGCACTTTGGGAGGCCGAGGCAGGTGGATCACAAGGTCAGGAGATCAAGACCATCCTGGCTAACATGGTGAAACCCGTCTCTACTAAAAATACAAAAAATTAGCCGGGCGTGGTGGTGGGCACCTGTAGTTCCAGCTACTCGGGAGGCTGAGGCAGGAGAATGACGTGAACCCAGTAGGTGGAGCTTGCAGTGAGCCGAGATCGTGCCACTGCACTCCAGTCTGGGCGACAGAGCGAGACTCCATCTCAAAAACAAACAAAAAACGTATTTGGAGAACTTTCTCTCATGTCTTTTCCCCTATGGTAATGTCAGTAAAGAGTCTGCCTTTTTTCCAATGCCCCCCTGCCATGCCCACACACAAAAACTGCCTCCAAAAAAGACTAAGCTGTTGCTATCTGTCCTGTCCCCTGCCGGAGTTTCCTACTTAAAGGTGTTCTGCTGGGTCAGGAGCTGGTAAGTAGATGATAGAGATTAGGAAAACACTGTTTACCTTAGGGTTCAGTAGCTGGGAGGAAGGAACAGTTTGGTTGGCGGCTACATGGGAACAGTTGGTCATCAGATTGTCCTTAAAGCTTTTACACCAGAATCCATACTTGGAGATAACAAATACAATGTAAATATGTTTTTATACCAATATTGTCTATAACTTGGTTCACTTCTAGTTTATTTGTTTTAAAGCATCAAATTGTTAAATCTGTAAAAGTAAACAAAAGTGATTGTTATTTTACAGTGCGATGTATGATGTATGGCTTTGGGGATGACCAGAATCCTTATACTGAGTCAGTGGATATTCTTGAAGATCTTGTCATAGAGTTTATCACTGAAATGGTAAGATTCTTTCCTAACTGGTCTTACTTAATTGAAGAATAGATTTGAAATATTAAACTTTAGGTAAGACTAGAACTTATGTCATCCCTTTGAAATAAGCTATCCATTTGAGTGCTTGTTTGCAGAAGTTATCGGTTACTGTTTATCATTAAGGATGGACGTTATACATACATATTCTATCCCCTCTTCTTTTTTTTTTTTTTTTTTGAGACGGAGTTTCATTCTTGTTGCCCAGGCTGGAGTGCAGTGGCGTGATCTTAGCTCACTGCAACCTTTGCCTGCCGGGTTCAAGGGATTCTCCTGCCTCAACCTCTGAGGAGCTGGGATTACAGGCATGTGCCACCACGCCTGGATAATTTTGTAATTTTAATAGAGACAGGGTTTCTCCGCATTGGTCAGACTGGTCTCGAACTCCCGATCTCATTTGATCCGCCAGCCTTGGCCTCCCAAAGTGCTGGGATTATAAGCATGAGCCACCGTACCTAACCTCTTCCATTTTTTATAAGGACATAATTATAAAATCCTTGAATAAAATAAAAATATTACCCATAATGCCATTATCCAAATAGGTTTATTTTTTTCCCCTCCTTTTCCAGTATTTAAAGATATACAATGTTTTTTTTGTGTGTGTGTGTGTGACAGGATCTCACTCTGTTGCCCCAGCTGGAGTGCAGTGGCATGATCATTGCTCACTGCAGCTGAGACCTTCTGGACTCAAGTGGTCCTCCCACCTCAGCCTCCGAAATACTTGGGACTATAGGCATATGTCACCATACTCTGCTTTTTTTTTTTTTTCTTTTTAATTTTTCTTTTCTTTTTCTTTTTTTTTTTTTTTTTGAGACAGAGTATTGCTCTGTCACCAGGCTGGAGTGCAGTGGCGTGATCTTGCCTCACTACAAGCCCCGCCTCCTGGGTTCAAGGCGTCTCCTGCCTCAGCCTCCGGAGTAGCTGGGACTACAGGCGCCCAGCACCATGCCCGGCTAATTTTTTGTATTTTTAGTAGAGATGGGGTTTCGCTATGTTAGCCAGGATAGTCTTGATCTCCTGATCTCTGGATCTGCCCGCTTTAGCATCCCAAAGTGCTGGGATTATAGGCGTGAACCACTGCGCCTGGCAACCTCTGTTAATTTTTAATTTTTTTGTAGAGACGGGGTCTCACTATGTTGCCCGTTGGTCTGTAACTCCTGGGTTCAAGTGATCTAACCCCTCTGCCTCACAAAGTGGTGGGATTACCGGCATGAGCCACTGTGTCCGGCTCAATGCCGTATTATTAAGTATTTAGCTTCTCTTTTTTTGTCGTTAGAAATAATACTATGATAGGTCTTCACTTTTGCACAGGTGAGTATATAATGACGGGATGAGATAGATTTATTTGATTTTTAGAAAACCCACCAATATTTATTGGGTATTAAGATGGAGGAGGACACAAAGCACAAATGAAATGGGTGAGTACACAAAATGATAAAATTATTTTATACAAATGAAGACAAAATCTACATATATCAAAAAAACAGAAAAGGAACAATAAAGTTGACAGTTTTAATGTCCTTAAGATATTTTTTTGGCTGGGCATGGTGGCTCACACCTGTAATCCCCCAGCACTTTGGGAGGCCGAGGCGGGCAGATTGCCTGAGGTCAGGAGTTCAAGACAAGCGTGGCTAACACAGTGAAACCCCGTATCTACTGAAAATACAAAAAAATTAACCGGGCGTGGTGACAGGCGCCTGTAGTCCCAGCTACTCAGGAGGCTGAGGCAGGAGAATGGCGTGAACCTGGGAGGCGGAGCTTGCAGTGAGCTGAGATCGCGCTACTGCACTCCAGCCTGGGCGACAGAGCGAGACTCCGTCTCAAAAAAAAAAGATATTTTTTTAAAGTGACTGTGAAGCATAAAGGGAACATTGCTAATAACCCACTAGAAAATGGACAGAGGACATGAGTAGAAAGATAATTAACAAATGAATAGCCATAATATAGCCATAATAATAAGAGAAAATCTTCGAACTCACTTGCAATTAATAAATGCAAATTAAACCAGTAAAATATTAGATTGTAAAAAATTAAATGTAATATGTTTCTTTGTAATAGACTCACAAGGCAATGTCGATTGGAAGACAAGGTCGAGTACAAGTTGAAGATATTGTCTTCTTGATTCGAAAGGACCCAAGAAAGTTTGCCAGGGTTAAAGACTTGCTTACTATGAATGAAGAATTGAAACGAGCTAGAAAAGCATTTGATGAAGCAAACTATGGATCTTGACACTTTTTGTAGTTTCTGAAAATTACCATCTGGGGAAATCATATAAAATAATTGTATATTTTCTAAAGTAAGGTTCTGATATCTAGCCTTGTAGATGAAAGATGGAGAAAGTTTTCAGCCTTTATTTTTATGCCTTTGATTTTAGAGTGATATTGGTGTATTTAATTGCCTGCCTTTGTATTACCATACTTGAATTACTTACTGGGGTTTAATGACCACACATAAGTCAACGTACCTTGCAAACCATGCCGTTCCTTCTGAGTTTTGACTATCTAAAGGATAAAGTAGTATTTATCTGTTAGGTATGTTTATACCCTTGTAAGCTGTACTGTAGCTTTTTTTTTTTTTTTTTTTTTTTGAATTTCGTTTTTCAGCATAGCCCTCTATTAGTTGCACGATCTTGGCTCACTGCAAGCTCCACCTCCCAGGTTGAAGTGCTTCTCCTTCTTCAGCTTCCCGAGTAGCTGGAACTACAGGTGCCCACCACCACACCTGGCTAATTTTTTGTATTTTTAGTAGAGGCGGGGGTTTCACCGTGTTAGCCAGGATGGTTTCAATCTCTTGACCTCGTGATCCACCTGCCTCGGCCTCGCAAAGTGCTGAGATTACAGGTGTGAGCCACAATGCCTGGACTACTGTAGCTATTTAATATGTGAAATCTAAATGGCATTTTTGACTCGACAGCTCAGACTTGTACTTCATGTATTCAGAAGTTTTTAGACAGCAACTAGTTTATTGTCTAGTTCATTATTAAAGATAATTATTATTAAAGATAATGAACTAGGCCAGGTGTGGTGGCTCACACCTATAATCCCAGCACTTTGGGAGGTTGAGGCCGGCAGATCACTTGAGGCCAGGAGTTCGAGACCAGCCTGGCCAACATGGCAAAACCTTGCCTCTACTAAAAATTAAAAAATTAGCCAGGCATAGAGGCATGTGCCTGTAATCCCAGCTACTTGGGAGGCTGAGGCAGAAGAACTGCTTTGAACCCAGGAGGCAGACATTGCAGTGAGCTGAGATGGTGCCACTGCACTCCAACCTGAGCAAGAGAGTGTGACTCTGTCTCAAAATAACAAATACAGATAATGAACTGGTTTGCATTTCTTTTAAAGAGATGATAGAGGAAAATATAGTTTTTTGAGAGAATGTTTATATCTCTTAAAAGATAATCTGTTTTAATTTTCTTCAGATAACAGGTTATTATTTTTTAAGAAAGCAAGTTTCACATGAATAATGCTGTGTTGGAAGGCTTTTTGATTTAAAATTTTTTCAGATTTCTAACATCCTGTTAAGTTTTAGGAGAACCCGTTTTCCCAGATCAGATTCGAGCTTCTAAAAATAAATGCTTTCAGTAGCAGGAATGGCATTGCTTAAAAGGCTCATGGCAGGATAAGCATTTGGGTTAGTGTTTTATTAACATATTTGTAAGTACTTGTTCATTGTGGAAATGTGACTAAAACCATATGTGGCTATGGAAACCATGTTTGTAGTTCTGGATACACGGGTTTGTGTGTATTTAGTCTATTGTATTAAATTATTATTGCCCTCAGCTTAACGTAAGGATTACAGTTGGATTTAAGTAGATCACTGATCTACTTATTGTTTATGAAACTTAAGTTTTTGTGTGCCGCTTATAAACATGATCTATAAATCAGTGCTTGGGAAAATTTTACTTTCCTAATCTACTGATACAGGAATAAAATATGAACAATTAAACAGGTTGATCCTTGAATCTGACTGATTTATGACTTTTTTTCCTCCCAGAATATTATGCCCATTACTGGTAATATGATAATTCTTGCTGCTTAGTCTAACTGAAAGTTTTTTTTATTTCAGTGCATATCAGCGTGAATCATTTCATTTAAAAAAGCAGGGCTGGGCACCGTGGCCCATGCCTGTAATCCCAGCACTTTGGGAGGCCTAGGCAGGAGGATCTCTTGAGCCCAGGAGTTGGAGACCAGTCTGGGCAACGTAGACCCCATCTTTACTAAAAATCAAGGCCAGTCACAATGCCTCACACCTGTAATCCCAGCACTTTGGGAGGCCAAGGCAGGTGGATTGCTTGAGGTCAGGAGTTCAAGACCAGCCTGGCCAACATGTTGAAACCCTGTCTCTACAAAAAATACAAAAAAAGTAGCCAGGCATGGTGGCATGCCTGTAGTCCCAGCTACTTGGGGGGCTGAGGCGGGAGGATCGCTTGAGCCCAGGAGTTGGAGACCAGCCTGGGCAAGATGACATGACCCCATCTCTGTGAAAAATAGAGCCAGGCACAGTGGTGTCCATTTGTGGTCCCAGCCACTCAGGAGGGTGAGGTGGGAGAATTGTTTGAGCCTGGGCGGTCAAGGCCGCAGTAAACTGCTTACTCTGTCACCCAGGCTGGAGTGCAGTGGCACAATCACAGCTCACTGCCTTGACCTCCTGCGCTCAAATAATCCTCCCACCTCAGCCTCCCGAGTAGCTGGGACTACAGGCATGCCTGGCTAGAGAAGCTATTTCACTGTGTTGCCCAGACTGAGTGGGGCTTTGCATTAAGACTATTTTAGGTTGCAAGTGATACAACTTAACTCAAAACTATTAATAGCATAAACAAGGCAGTTACTGGCTTACCTAACCGAAACATGGAAAAGAAGGGATGGAGCTGAATTTAGGGTTGACTGGATCTAAGTACTTGAGAAGCAAGACTCTGTCTCTCTGTCTTTTATCCTAATTTTGGTTTTATTCTCAGAGTGGCAAAGGAACATGATGGCCAGCAGTTCTAGGGTTCCCTCCTTACAACTCCAAATTGAAGAAGCTGCTTTACTTCGTAATATAGAACATTCCAAGCAAGGATTATGACAATCCGAGCTCTGCTTATTTTCTTCCTGTACCAGTCACTATGGCCAGGAAGAAGTTGTGCTATAGCCCAAATCTCATGCCCCACTTCTGGTAAGAAAGAGCTTGGAGTGGGATTGGGATACTGGATACTGCTATTAACAAAAAGGGAAAAGAGGCTCGGCGGGCTGACTTGATTCATGAGCTTGCTTATTAACTTCAAATTCTGGTAGTAAGGTGGCATGGCTGTCTTCCAGTATCTCCAGCTGCACTGTGTAAATGGTAGCCACTGGCCACATGTGGCTATGTACATTTTAAAATGAAAAATTCAGCTGGGTGTGGTGGCTCGTGCCTGTAATCCCAGGATTTTAGGAGGCTGAGGCAGGCAAATCTCTTGAGGTCAGAAGTTCAAGACCAGCCTGGCCAACATGGTGAAACACCATCTCTACCAAAAATACAAAAATTAGCCAGGTGTGGTGGCACATGCCTGTAAGCCCAGCTTCTCGGGTAGCTGAGGCAGGAGAATCACTTGAACCCAGGAGGCAGAGGCTGCAGTGATCCGAGATTACACTACACTCCAGACTGGGCAACAGAGTAAGACTCTGTCTCGGAAAATAAAATATTTAAAAAATGATAAAATGAAAAATTCACTTCCTTAGTTGCGTTTGCTATATTTCTTTTTTTTTTTCCACCCAGGCTGGAGTGCAGTGGCGTGATCTCGGCTCACTACAAGCTCCGCCTCCCAGGTTCACGCCATTCTCCTGCCTCAGCCTCCCGAGTAGCTGGGACTATAGGCGCCCCCCACCACGCCCGGCTAATTTTTGTATTTTTAGTAGAGACGGGGTTTCACCATGGTCTCGATCTCCTGACCTCGTGATCTGCCTGCCTCAGCCTCCCAAAGTGCTGGGATTACAGGCGTGAGCCACCGCGCCTGGCCATGTTTCCTATATTTCAAGTGCTCAAAAGCCTTATGGTAAGCGGGTATAGCATTGGACAGTGCTGATATCGAACATTACCATCCAGAAAATTCTTTTGGACAGTGCTGATCTGGAGTATATAGGTGCTCTCTCCTAAAATAATTCCCTTTTTTTTTTTTAACTTCCTATGGAAAATCTCAAGTATACACAATAATAGTGTAACTAGTCCCCAGCTTCAACAAGTAACCAACTTTTTGCCAATTTGTCCTATCCCCCTACCTTTAAATAATTTTTTAATTTTTATTTTTGGACCTTAGTTTCAGAACCCTTACCTTTTTTAAGGTAGGGGGACAGTATTATTTTAAAGCAAATCTGGCTGGGTGCAATGGCTCACACCTATAATCCCAAAACTTTGGGAGGCTGAGGCGAGTGGATCACCTGAGGTCAGGAGTTCGAGACCAGCCTGCCAATATAGTGAAACCCTGTCTCTACTAAAAATACAAAAATTAGCTGGGCATAGTCACGGGAGCCTGTAATCCCAGCTATTCGAGAGTCAGGAAAAAGAATCCCTTGAACCTGGGTGGTGGAGGTTGCAGTGAGCCAAGATCGTGCCACTGCACTCAAGCCTGGCAACAAGGCCAAGACTCCATCTTAAAAAAATAAAAAATAAAGCAAATCCCAGACATCCTTGTATCATTTCATCTATAAATACTTCAGTACATATTTTTTTTTCTTTTTTCTTTTTTTTTTTTTTTGTGTGTGACATAGTCTTACTCTGTCACCCAGGCTAGAGTGCAGTGGTGTGATCTTGGCTCACTACAACTTCCACCTCCTGGCTTTAAGTGATTCTCCTGCCTCAGCCTCCCGAGTAGCTGGGATTACAGGCATCTGCCACCATGCCTAGCTAATTTTTGTATTTTTAGTAGAGATGGGGTTTCACCATGTTGGCTAGGCTGGTCTTGAACTCCTGACCTCAAGTGATCCACCTGCCTCGACCTCCCAAAGTGCTGGGATTACAGGTATGAGCCAATGTGCCTGAGCTTCAGTGCATATTTCTAACAAAGTTTAAAAAGCCCAAATAGTATTACCATATTCTATCAAAAATTAACACTATTTCCTCAATATTCCATCTGATACCCAATTCCTGTTAATTTTTAAATTTTTTTGAAATAGGGTCTTGCTCTGTTGCCCAGGCTAGAGTGCAGTGGCATGATCATGGCTTACTATAGTCTTTTCCTCCTGGGTTCAAGCAGTCCTCCTACCTTAACCTCCCAAGTGGCTAGACTACAGGTGTGTAGCACTACTACTGGCTAATTTTTAAAATTTTTTTGTAGAGAGAGGGGTCTCACTATGTTGCCCAGGCTGGTCTTGAACTCCTGGGTTCAAGCGATCCTCC